TGGACGTTGGTATGAACTCGTCCTCCTCCAGTTGCATCAGTTCTCTTTTATGGGCTGTGATGCGTTTTTTGGCACTGAGCTTAACATAAAGCCACTTTTTAAAATTGTGCCAGCGATCTGTCCTCTGAACTGCGGTGGTTATCTTGTCCCAGGCAGTGTTTCTCCTTTTGCTGCTTATCCCAACATTTAATGCACCAAACAATAGTTTCTGGTTTGCTTCAACCTTGCTGACGAGTACCTTGATCTCAGTTCCTCTTTTTCGCCCTTTTTGCCATGATGATGACGACAGGTGAGGAAAAATAAATCTTCACTTGCTTCATAAAGAGGTGTGTTGTTGCTGTCTTGAAATGCTTTTGGATCCTCCAGGAAGAACAGAAGAACATTGCTGGGAAGAAGGATGTCTGAATGCTCTGTTTAGCCTGCTAAAGCTAAATCCTAAGACAAACATTTTACATTTTAACTTTTATGAAAGAGGACTTCTTTCAGGACTGTTCTAGTTGATTGCATTTCCTTGGTATAACTCATAAACTGTGTGTGCTATTGCATTCAGATTTCCTTTCATTGGAACTAAAGGCCCCAAATCAGGAAAAACACACCCAGAACAAAAGAACAAGTCTTACTGTCAACCATGAAAACAACAGCATCACAGAAAGCATCTAAGTCCTGCATTGTTTTGTATGTTGGCCAACGTATATCTGACGGTGATGTGGGCTGTGATGAGCTGTATTGGTACTGCTGCATGTGAACTCACATTTACCCGACCTCACCTGTGTAACCTGCAGGTGCTGCAGATTTGTCCCAAGGACATGCGAGCAGACATCTGTGTGCACCTGAACAGGAAGGTGTTTAAAGAACACCCTGCGTTTCGCCTGGCCAGTGATGGCTGCCTGCGTGCCCTCGCAATGGAGTTCCAGACCATCCACAGCGCACCAGGAGACCTCATCTACCACGCCGGAGAGAGTGTGGACAGCCTGTGCTTCGTAGTTTCTGGATCGCTGGAGGTTATCCAGGATGATGAGGTGGTGGCCATTTTAGGTAAAGTTTGAAAACACATTTAGTTTTGGTGAGGTGTTAAAAAATCAGCTTTCTGTGTTCTGCTGTAAATCCATCAGTTCCTACACAGCCCTGGTGCCCTAGGTGAAGGGCAGGGTTA